GACATATCTTTACTTCCGAAGATAATGTATTTTATTAGAGATACAGATCATTTCGTAGATTCATAAATATCGATCTTTTCATTTATAATACAAATATCATATCATATGTATGCAGTTTATTTCATATGATGTCGCTAGTAGATAATACATATGATTCATAATTATTATTGGCTTTAATATTTCATTGGTATAGATTGGATCATTTGAGAACAAGGAACAATCGAGTGTCTTTTTCTTGTTGAACAAAAATTTCTCTCTTAATTAAACTATATTAAAATGACAAATACTTCTGAAACTCATCGAACAAATTCTAATAATCATATTGAAGCTTTAGCTTTATCGAAAGAATTTATGTCAATCACAAATACGGATGATATAGATGCAGCTATGATGATATTAAAACAAAATGAATGGAAAATTGAACAAGCTATCAGTGCTTATTTTGATTTAGAACAAATGGATTCTCATAAATCAAATGATGGTCAAAATCAGACATTGTCAGTGTCTTTTTTCGTATATTAAATCAAATAAATTTAGATTTATCTCATCATATAGTCCACTTGATAAAAGAACAGTATCGACAAATAATGAATTATCAAATGTAAAAACACAGTTTAAACTTCTTTCATGGAATATTGATGGACTCGATGAAAATGCACTTGAAATTCGAACTCGAAGCATTGTTAATATTATTAAAAAGTAATTTTATGTTTACGATTTATGATACTTTCAATATTTTATTTGCTCTCAAAGAGAAGAACCTGATGCTGTATTTTTACAAGAAGTCATTCCAACATCACTTCAAATAATTCGAACATTTTTACCAGAATATAAATCATATATTGGTAAGATTAATTTATTTATACTTTAATTCATTTGTATATTAGTTATTCATTGTAGGCAATAATCAAGGTTATTTTGTAGTTATATTAATACGTCAAGACCTATTTATAGTACATGGTTTCGAACTTATTTCATATCCAGGCACGATGATGAATCGAAATTTACTCATCGTTCATGTATAGTTACAT